GGTTTTTCCTACGAAACGTGTGATATTTAGTATGTTATAATACAAATACTTGAGGCTTCTCTCAAAGCTGAACTTGCAGAATCTCAGGAGTATGTAGCTGAAAACATCTTCAGCATTAAGTCTTTCTGCTGTGTTGAACGCTCAGATTTGTGTGTGAGAAACTCTTGCCAACACATAACTGAAAGCCATGCCAAAGTCCAAACACCGTCAATGTCAATTTGTGCATGTGTGCTGGGGGCAGGGAGGGGGAATTAATCCAGTGATGTGATTTTAATGGTCTTTTAGACACAATGTTCTAATAGGTATGTTATTTTCTTTTTTTAGGAGTAAATGAGGTAGACTACAGTCTTTATCCTAACAGGAAATTACAGGAACAATGGTTGAGATCTTACCTTGAGGCCTACAAAGAATATAAAGGATTTGGCACAGAAGTCAGTGAAAAAGAAGTTGAAGTTCTATATGTCCAAGTCAATCAGTTTGCACTGGTAAATAACGAACACTTGATGAGAATGTATTAAATGCTATGGAGAAGCTTGCTACTCTAGGGACAAATGCAACTGCTAGTTTCTTACTCTGAGTGCTGTGGCATGTAAAATAACTTCCTCATTGTGTTCTATGGAAATTTTCTGCAATATTGTTAGGTCATAAAACCTCTTCTGTAGAATATTCGAAGTGAAAGGGGCCGTGAGCATTCAGAAAACGAGGAGATGAGCTTTTGGCCAGTAGTTCTGTTTTACTGGTATGGCAAGTTCATGAGTTGGCTAGAGCTTATGGAGCCTCAGCGTTGAGCTTTTTGTAATGGTAAGAAGGCACAAGAGCAAGGTAGTGCTTCATAAAGACTTACAAATCATCTGACTTCAAAAGCCTTTTAAAAATAAACACTTTGTTAGAGTGAAACCAGGACACTTTGACTTTTTAAATTCCCTTCCCTGATAAGTAGGTAGGTCACTCTAGAGTCTTTCATTTCAACCGTAACTCTCCTTGGCCTGCAGTGCCTTGGCAAGCAGGGAGTTGCTTTCAGGTCTGGTTTTGGTCATCTTAGCAGTTTAAACTGTAGCAAAGTGCACGTGCATTTTCCCTTGGTTCCCAGGAGTTCTGCCTTTCTGTGGAGTGTAGGGGCTGGCTGCGTGAGTCAGCTCCCTGCTCCTTTGCGCTGTAAGCTGTCTGTCCCTCTGTTTTTCATAGACTTTGGATATAGAAGCTTCACTCCCTTGTTCTTTCCCTTTGAAAGGATGGAGCGTGTTCAGTTTTGATCTGGCTTTGGTACCTTGCCCTTCAGGGCAAAAAACCTACATCAATTGCAATTCAGAGGTAGGCTCAAGAAGTCTAATAGGTGTGGCACTGAGTCTTTGAATGTCCCCATTATCTATTAAAAGCAGTTTGAAGATGGCTTTTATCCAAGCTTTATCTCTGTGTGATTTCTGAAGGTATTTTACAGTTTCACACTACTTCTGTTATGTTTTCCAGCCAGCCCTGACCTTGATTTTGCCTAGAGGATGTGACAGGAAGGGTTACAGCAGAAGTGCTTTTTGCCCAACTGCTATGTAACTTTATTTTACTTTCTCCTGAAGAACAGCATGCCAAACTACTCACAGGAGGACTAAGGCGAAGAAGCCAGTTTGGCCTTGTTTCAGTCCTCTTTCTTGACTAATCCACTCACACCTCTGTAACAGTAATATCTTCAGTTTTCTGGCCAAAGCTAATGGTTGCAACGAGGAAATACAGTTTGTGTCCTAGGAAGGTGATTATTAAACAAGCCATTAAACATACCAGCTTGTTTGCTGTTCTTCATTAAAATCTCTATTAGCTGTTACTGTTAAACTTGGCTGTCCCCTTCATTTAGAAAAGTTAGTTCTACAGTTAAGTAGCTGGTTGTCTGTTTTAAAATACATGGCATTGTTTTGTCAGTTTGAAACTGCGGTCATACTAATGTTTGAGAGGATATAGTTCTGTTTGGAGAACGGCTCAAGACCTGCCTACAGACCACACGTGATGCACAAATACTGCCAAACTCCTCTGTCTGTTAACGCGGGAGGCGTCGTTCAGAGAAAATACAAACTGAAGTTAAGGGATTCTGCTCTAAAGTGCCAAACTGCTCACTATCAGGCGAAGTTACCTAAGCTAGAGGTACAAGAAAGGTTCACACGTATATACAGTAGTTGCCATTTTAAGGTGGTTTCAGGCGTGTGTGCGTGCGTGTCTTCTGCACTTGTGGTGAAGTGTTAGGTGGAAGCTTCAGGAAGCAACTTGGGTAATTCCTGTAAGCAGTTATTTACGGAAGAGAAGTCTGCGGCGTATCACTTGTAACCTGAGTGGTTCCACGAGTGTCTTCCACAGGGAGACTATCAAACCCATGGCCATTACATGCATTTGTTCATTTGAAGTATACTAACAATCATTAATGTAATCCATAGTTTCCATCTGAAACAGAACATAGGCCTCCAGACTACTTATCTGGACTCCTAATGGAAGTAGGTGTGGAACAGAGGGGAAATTTGTGTAAATGCTGATGAGTCAGAGGTTCTCTCACGTAGCTACAGACCATAGCTCTTTGTCCAAGTCAGCAGTGAAAGTGAGTTGTTGTTATAATGGCCTAAGGGTTGTAATCAAAGATTCAAAAAGAATTTCATGTTTTCACTAGTTGAATACCTGTAGAATAATATGTATTTAATTAGCAGCAGTAGAAATGACACAGTTGTACTTCTGTGCATTTTTTTTAACAGGGGGTACAACAGCCTACTTAAGCAATACTGTGTTTATAAAATAGTTCATCTATTTGCTTAGTAAAAACACAGAGTCAGGCCAGTGGATTTACTCCTCTAATTGCTTATAATTAATTCTCTAATACTTGTTTACCAACCTCTTTGGTAAAAAGGTATCAAATAACTTCGCAAAAAGATTGGGTTTGGAGAGCTCTCTTGTCTCAATGTGAGAATATATTCACATGTTGAATTTTATATCATGTTCATCTCTCACTAAGAGCTGTTTTCTTTCAGGCTTCCCACTTCTTTTGGGGACTGTGGGCTCTAATTCAAGCCAAATATTCCACCATCGACTTTGATTTTCTAGGGTAAGTGTGTGTGCTGTATATGCTCATGGAATACTTGAGGCTGGAAGCGACCTGTGGGGCATCTGGTTCAACACCCCAGCTATCAGTACCTGAGGTCTGAGCAACAGACCTGATCTGTGTGATTATACTATACCTTTTTAATTTTTAAGAGAGGAAAAAGAAAAGACAGTAAAAGCTGTCTGTCTGTACTTTTTGTTGCTGAAAATTCTCTAAATTAGTATGTGCCTCGGGGCTAAACCACGTGGTATAACAGGGCAAGGAACGTAAGTAGAGGTGTAACCGCTGTCGGGCATGGATTGGTTTTTCTGTTGGAGACACAAAGGCATGAAAGCCAGGTTGGTTGGTGGGGTGTGCCCCCTCTCAGATGCAAGTGTCAGGAAATGAGGCTCTTGTACAAAAGAGCTTTAGAGAGTCGTCGTAATGCTAGTGTCTGTTAAGTGTGATTCCTGAGACGCTGTCTGACGGTGGTCTGTTTCAGGTAGATGCCTTTTGGCATTTTTTTTTAAATGACAGCAAGGAGAGGAATCCATCTCTCTGCTGGGGACTGGGTGAGGTGATAAAACTAATCATTTTGCTTGGTAAGAGATCACGCTTGAGAATTTTTTGCACTGATGAAGACAGTTTACTGGTCTTAGTTGTGTCACTGTGAATGAGACAAATGTGAAGTTCCTCTTGTGACTAACAAGTCTCAGGTAGAAGTACGTGTTGGTAGCCGCTAGGTGGCACAAAAACCCAGTTCAAGCACAGGCTCTAGAACCCCAAACTTGTCAATTTTGAATAAAGTCTTTTTGCAGTGATCCTGATCAGATTTCTCTGGAACTGCAGTTGTTGGACAGTCTATTAAACACAAAAGCACCACCTTTGATGATCCCAGAACAGCATCTGGTTTGCAAACTGTAGCAAGCTGGGAGTGGTGGTGAGGAAGTACTGTAATACGGCTGCTCTGTTCTTAATTTCTTCCTCTGGCAGCTGCTAAGGGTTGGTGTTGGAAGCAGGGTGATGGGGTCGGTGGGCTTGTGGCTAGTCCTAGCTAGCATGGCTGTTTTCCTGTACAGAGTTATCTGCTCTTCACTCCCAGTCTCTCTCTCCCTTTCAATAGGTATGCAATTGTTCGGTTTAACCAGTATTTCAAAATGAAGCTGGAGGTCATGACATTAACTCTTCCTGAGTAATGAAGAGGAAGGAACTTACCAAGTGGACAGACAACCCCTGAATCTTTTCTGAGAACAGATACTGGAAAAAAGCTAAACATTTGTTGAAGTTCTGTAATGCTCACTTGGTGGTTCTTGCTTTATAAATAATGCCTCTATAAACAGTCCCTCAATGTTAAATTTAATATGAAGAGCATATGTACTGCTGTTGATATAAAACGGATTAGAAACTTGCTAAACCTAGAAGAAGTTGTAGAAATGGGCAATTTAATCCTTCTTTGTAATTTAACATATGTTGTATGTGAATTATTTATTATAAGTTTAACATGATTCCATTGCTGCTTTCATCAGTTTTTGTAAAGGTTGGGTGCAGACAGTGAAGTTGTTCCAAAGGATTCGTTTAACAACTTATTTTATTGAAGTTGCATTAACTTATTTTAAAGAAAACCTGGTCGGAGAATATTAACCTTTTAGATGTGTACAAGCAAAATGAGTGGTAATAGACTCGTGAGATCACCAGTGTGTTGTAACTAGGGAAAAAGGTTAGGATGATCCTTTATTTTTTTCCCCTCTCTTTTAAAGGAGAAAAGGGTAGCTTTCCATATGATGGTACTATTCTTTTGTGTAAGAACCAACCAGCTTGCTGAAATGGTAAATAACATTTTGATTTTTTTCCTTCTTCACGTGTTAAGCTGTAGAAATGAGGAAGTTCTGCGGCCATCGGGTTCTGAGGATACATGTACCATCATAGTGTTAGAGGGGCAATATTCCATCTCTAACTTCTGTGGGAAAGCTGCTTGTTTATTAAGTGTACTTTTTAAAGCAAGAGACCACTATTCCAAATCTGTGTTCATTCTGGAAACTTCATCCTAGATTTCAACACGTTCTGGTGTCTGTATTTGATGTGCTTCAGCAGTATCTAGCAGAATGGACTATTGAACTGGAGGTCAGAGATCCTGTTGCACTGGGGAGCAAGACACTTAGGCTTACAGTTCACGTGTCGTTGACATCTTTCTTACTGCTTTGTCATCTTCTAACCTTGGATTATAGTCTTAAATGCTTGGTCCTGTAGTTGCAGATTCTGGTATGTCTGTGTCTGTTTTTTAAATGTTTTTTTCCTGTGGCAGCAAATTACTTTTCAAAGTCTCCAGTCTGAAGGATGATACGGAAAAATACGTGACTTGAACAATGGGGCTTTGACCATCACACGTGTTTTCTTATTTCTTAAAGCTATTATACCAAGAATGGTCTGGATCACAAAATGTGAATTGAAAAGGAAATGTTTACTTAAAACAATGTAGAAGTTTTCTTGGAAAAGAGGCTTTAAATCTGAAAGGGGGGGTGGGTGGGGGCTGGGAGGGGAAGAAACCCACAACAGAAAGATAAAACCCAACAATGCAGCGTGGAGTTGGGTGGGCAGGTACCCAACTCCAATTATACTCTGAAAAGCTTTGCACTTTGGTCACATAAGTGCCCACGTGTACAAAGTCTCTGTGTGTGCATATACACATGCAAACACAAACTTACCTGAAGAGTAAATATTGTGGGGAGTCTGTTGTACAGACTCCAGCAGAGATATTTATTCAGAATTGCTTTATGGCACACCGCTGCGTGTGTGTATGTACACACACACATATATACGTATGTGCTGTACGGAAGCTTGGATTGAGTCAGGACAAAGAAAACTGATGTGAATGAAAAATTTTCACCTTGGAAGACCATTTTGAATGGCGTTCTGTTGTTTTACAAAAGCAAGGTTTGGGATTTTTGTTTTGTTTTTCTCTTGTCTGGTTTATATTCATCTCTGAATGTTTCTGGTTTTTATTTCCTTCAGTCAAAACCTTAAAAATCCTGATGCAAATGGGAGAACTGCAGGTTTTTTTGTAACTTGAAATGAGGTAACCGTTTTCGTTAGCATCGGTTAGCTGGAGGCTACTATAGTGGACAAATTTTCTTGGTAGTTAAAGAGAAAGAAATAGCTGAAGTAGACATTTGCATTTCCTTTGTAGCAGTTATCAAGGATGTTGCTAGAGCTCATGAAAGCACTGAGGACTTTAATTTTCTGTACTTTCTCCCTGTTGACATTATGATGTATGTTGAATAATATCCTGCTGTCTTGGTAGTCCCTTTCAGTTCAGCAAGATCTGCTTGGGAGTAAGATTTTGGGGTTTTTTTAAACTCTTATTGTTGTTTTCTTCGAGTGGTGGCTTTATTTCTGGCAGTGTTGCTTTGTATTTGTGAAGTATTTGAGAAAGGCTGTGAAGTTCACTTGGTCTTGGGAAACCCATCGCTTGACAGATCCTGACTTTCCCAACAGTTGGCAAAACACATTCCCTTTTCAAGCATCAGTTCTGTTTAAGTTTGGAGTTAGTGTAAACTTTTTTTTTAGTAGTATTTTTGTTTGTATAGCTCGAGTAGCAATAACTGTAGGAGTGGAAGCTTGCTTCTGCAGAACCAAAGCTCTTCATGAGTGCAGCTCAATCTCATTCTTGTGAAGTTCCACTGCAAATCCCGTAAAAGCACTTTGAGGCAGATAGTGAATACTGCAAGCTTTTCCTGAGCCACTTTGAAGAAGCACAAGGATTATCGCAGGTTACGGTGGTTGACTTTGCAGTACTGGTCGAGGCTTTCATTTTGCATGTTCAAATTCATTTGACACACTTAAACGCTGCTTTGCATCGGCTTTCCTTCTAGACAAGTGCGGATTAAAACAGTTCCTGATCAGTTCTGAGGAAATACTGTAGAACACTTTCCAAAATGAAATGCCAGTTACCTTGAGCCTTGTTCCACATCTGTTTGAGCCAGTAGCACTTGGATATTCTCCCTTGCGAAAGAATATCTACAGATGGGCTAAGTTGGAAGCAGTAGTTTGCAACCGCATTGCAGATTATGAGGTAGCTCGAAACTGTGAATACAGGACGTTCTGAATGTAAGTTGGGTACTAGGGCACCGAACTAGAACACCTGCTTGTTTCAGTTCATTTATCTCAGTCTCTTTAGTAGCAACGTTTAGGTATTTGACGGAGGACGCCAAACGACTGAGCTCTAGAAACATCCTGTAGTAGTTCTGACTGTGACTTGCCAAGAAGATATTCTGTTGCCTTTGTTAAGCTAAGGGCATGAATGCCAAAATCAATAATTCTTGCTGTAGTTAAACCTATATTGTAAATATGAAGAGGATTGTTGGTCGGGGCATTCTTGCATAAATAGCATCAAGTCAATAGACCATAGTGGCCTGGTTGCTTTTGTAAAGCAGAATAGTGTGAATTTTTTTCTTCTCATTTCTGCAGTCAGATCTGGCTAATCCCTGCCTAATTTCTTAGGTCACCTAAGCATTAAGGATTTCTGAATGATACCCAGTCTCTTGTCGCATAGTTTTAAATTCCTTCACTTACACGTCTTGATTTGCATTTTAAACAGACTTACCAAATTCGCATTAACCAGGTCTGACTGTCTATGTACATACAACAGTGTAAATAACCATTTGTAACACTTACACATCTTGATTTGCATTTTAAACAGACAAATTCGCATTAACCAGGTCTGACTGTCTATGTACATACAACAGTGTAAATAACCATTTGTAAATTAGTGTGAATTGTACTGTATCTTGCATTTATGGACTTGTGTATTGCATTGTATTCTCTCCTATTTTGTAGAAATTTTGATGTAAAGAAGAAATCTAACTCTGTGTGCGGACTTCTTTTGTTAAATTGACCTGTAACAGCAAAATACTGTTATGTTAAGGTATCCATTTATAGCCTTGGGCATCCAGCATCTTTTTTTTTTCCCCGTTAGCTTTTTGGACATCTTGCTCTTGAGAATGATTCTGGGAATAAAGGAATTTACACAGTACTCAGAGGAAGAGAAAGTCTATTCTAACGCTAGGCCAAACTGTGTCAGAGGTACGTGTAGTACCTGTGGTATAGGGAAAGCTGTTAAAATGCTTTACTTAACCCCCCAAAAATTTCCTACACGCTCTTGAATGCTGGTGACTTGCGAACGTAAGCATGTTGAAGTACTCTGTAAGTGTGCGCTCCCGCGGCGGCGGCGGTTGACTTAGTTGTGTTAGAAGTCCCCCGACTTAAAATGTTTTTGGTGGACATAGCCTTATAATAGGATTAGTTGTTAACTTGTAAATGCTTATAATAAATGCCCAAATCGCCAAAATATTTCTGCCAGTCATTTTCCTCAACGCTAAACTATTGGTTGCCCCTTTGTAGACTATTTGAAACTTATGAGGTTATTTTCCCCGTGTGCCATTCCCTCCCCATCTTCCCCGTGCCCACAGCCCTACTTCTCTTAGGGGAGAAACAAATATAAAAGCTTCCTTTCCATAAGTGATCGTTGCTATATCCTTTTTGATGAAAATAGTGTTCTGTTTTTTTCTTTTTGGTGCGTTGCTTCTTGTCAGAATTTTTTGGTGTAAGACGTCCCTTTCTGAAGAGGCCTTTGATCGTGTTAGCATAGACACGAAGAAGCATAGTTTCCCACAAATGCCTGACAATATTTCGTTACTGTTGCCTTTCGCTGTCTGTTCGGAACTCCATAGTGTTCTTCGAGCTCTTAATTTATCCTTGTCAAGGCTGTCTTTAATAGCTGCTGGAAAATACTGGTGTGCAAATCTCCTCCTCCACCCCGTGAATTGATCCCGGTGCGGTCTGTGTGTCCTGTCAGCTTTACCTGTGCCGGGTGGAGGGGATGCAGGCTTATCAGTGATGACGCTTGAAGTTGCTAGGGTCCTGGGAAGTGAGTTGAGCAAGGAAGTGTTACTCAAGAGGAGGGATGGGCTCAGCAAATGTGAGTAAAAGGAAATGGTTCACATGGGAACTCAAGCTGAAGCTTTTGAGGCAACAGGGTATTACTGGGTATGCTTATTGACTTGCATGGCTTAAGGACAAGAGCAAGGTAAAGGGTGAAGTTTGTCTCAAAATGTTCAGTTTGTTGGTTTTTTTTTTTTTAAAAGCCTTTGGTAGCTAATGAAAGCTTTCAGAATATTTTCTGACTCCTGCCGAAAAAAATCTTAAACCAAATTTGTGTAACTTTCTGATTAAACAAAACTTCGTTCTGCAACCCAGTGGAATATAATCCCTTGCTTAGGGTGGTCCTTCCTGCAGCTTGCAGAGGAGGTTGACCACGTTTTACCTGTGCATTTGAGCTGGTGTCATGGATTAACCCCAGCCAGCAACTAAACACCACACAGCCGCTCACTCACCTCCCCCTGGAATTAGCTATGGTCTCCCATCATCTCTTCCACACCAGGCGGGTTGTAATTGGAGCGGTAGAAGAGGAAACACTTGATCAAACCTTGAGGCACTGCAAGGCTGATGTTGAGCAGTCTTGCAGCTGATGCTTTTCCCCCTTTTTGGGGCTGCAAGCTGATGGTTTTCACTAGCTGTGGAAACGGGAAAAGCCCCACGGCCTTTGGTCTTGCGCTGGGTGGGCGTTCTGTCAGCTGACTGTTGAGAAAGGGGCTCTCGGCA